CGTTTGAGTGTTCACCATACATGTTCACCATCTTCTCACTCACCATGAGAGTACGTTTAAGGATGGGGGCGCTTTTAAAGACGACCAGCATCATGATGCGGGAATGCTTCCACTTGCACAGCTTGTTCAACACGCGCAACAAGTTGATACAAGAGAACATATTTCGCCAGCAACACGCAGCACTCGTCTCGGCGTTGTTGATACCAGCTGTTGAACTGTTGTTACCGTTGTTGTTATTGTTATTATTATTATTGTTATTGTTGCTTGTAGATGGTGATGGAGAGGGTGAGGATAGTGAGTGGGCATCTATGCTTAATAAGTTGCTGCTGCCGGCGTCAAAAGATTTCCCATCTGCACGAAAAAAATTAATAGGTAATATCGTAAAACTAATAATGGAAACCGTCTGCACTTACAGTTACACAAAAAAACTAACATCGTTAAAATAATGGCACATTTGCTGCACTTAGGACTTAGCACTGATACCTACTTTTTGCTGGAAAAAACTGGGTCAGGATGACTCGCATAGGGATAAAAACAGCATCGCTACTAGACAATGACCCGATCATTACTCAGAGTGTATACAGCAGGTAATCTGTACTCTGAATTCAAGTCACGGAAATTTAAATTCAATAATCATTTGTTTGAGTCAAAAAAATTTAGTTTCAATGGATAGCAGGGAAGAGCATAACTGAAAATCACTCATTCAATTTTCAACACATATATGACAGCATTGATCAGTACATCAGTTGTACTAAGTAGAAACAATTAATAATTATATTGTATTAATTAATAGCTCTGACCCTGAGGTTGTACTAACTCGAAACAATTAATAATTATATTATATTAATTAAGAGCTCTGACCCTGAGGTTGTACAGAGTCTAAACAATTAATAATTAATTATAATAATTAATAGCTCAGACCCTGAGCGTCTAGAGCGCCCCCAGCAGCGGCCCCGATGCAGGCCAGGAGAGCGTCGCTGCTGAGGTCTGCGCCTTCACCGATCACGCAAGACGGGAAGTCCAGCAGAGCGATTCTATAAAGTATATAATAATTATTATGTGCTTTATTTGAATTATACAAGCTTGGTCTACAACTGGTAAATAATTTCTAAATAAAAAAGTAATTTAAAATATTAAAAATTCCTAAATATATTTTAAGTTAAGATGGCCTGCTTTTAAATCAACGGGAAGTCCAGCAGAGCGATTCTATAAAGTATATAATAATTATTATGTGCTTTGTTGAAATCACAAAAGCTTGGTTAACAACTGTTAAATAATTTCTAAGTAAAAAAGTAATTAAAAATATTAATAAGTCCTAAATATATTTTAAGTTAAGATGGCCTTCTTTTAAATCAACGGGAAGTCCAAAAGGGCGATTCTACAACGTATATAGGATTTACTGTGTGATTTTAATAACAAGATTTTGCTCACGTGTTTTTAGTGCAGACGTAGGACATGATGTTATGGTTGAAAAACTTGAGTATGAGCGGGATGCAGTTGGCAAAATTTTTTATTGTAATTAATTAATTTTAATTATTTTCATTTTCATATATTCTCTTCCCCAGTATATAAAGGCATTATATTCAATACCGAAATAATGTCTATGATATTTAATTTAAATGGTATAAATTTTTACACGAAAGCCAAATTATGGCTAGATTATTAATTATTTATCGATAATTATTACAGCGTATCGATAATAATTACAGCGTATCGATAATTAATACTCAGATTCCAAAATTCACACAGATCCGTTAAGTATTGCAGGAATTATGAGTGGCCCAGTTGCTTAAAAAATACGTTTATTGGTTTTAATTAAAAAATAATTCATGTAGAAATCTGTAATAATTCCTGCGGCAGCGTTTCGATAATTAATACTCACATTCCAAAATTCATGCAGATCCGTTAAGTATTGAAGGAATTATGAGACCGATTCGACACTTCAGCGAACTCGCCTGCGAACTCGCCTGCGAGCTCGAATGCAAAACCTAACTTCATTTTCAACTGTGGCACGCATAACTCCTTCAATTATGAACGGATTTTATTCAAATTTGGAATATAAGTGCGAAAAAATTCCCCCCGCACAATACTGATATTATCTACTTATATTTCAAATTTGAATAAAATCCGTTCATAATTGAACGAGTTATGCGTGCCACAGTTGAAAAAGAAGTTAGGTTTTGCATTCGAGCTCGCAGGCGAGTTCGCTGAAGTGTCAAATCGGTTCGCATAGTTAATATCGTAAATATGACGATGCTCGTGAACCTTGGCGATAGCTATCACAAATAACTAAGATAAAATAATCATCATCGTAACCCAGTTAATCATGGCCAGTCCATACCTATAAAATGTTCCGATGATTCTACAATGCCCCGGTAATAATAAATAATAATATTCTGTACTTCATTAATAAGAGTAAGCTAAAAACCTTCCCACGCGACTTCTGGCAACATCGGCGATCGAGCTCGAGAACCGTTACGGGACTTGCAGCCTGCAGGTTCTATTCGAAAGTAGGCGCGCTGCTGTTCGGGCGATTTTTATAAGTTTAATTTTAATTGTTGAGTGAAAGGTGCAGGCATGCAACTTCCAAGCGATTACGTTATAGAGACTGAACAAGTTAGCGTACGTGTTTTAATTCTTTGTGTCAAGAAGTTAATTTTTTTGCCTCAAATCACGTTGTATCGAAAAATTGGTCTTGGTGGATCAAAATAATAGTATATGAACCGTCAAAATTGGAATTCAATTCTGCCCGGTGTATCACGTGTGCCTGTGCCTGATCCCACACCAAGAATAGATATAAGTTGAAGAGTATCTCGAGTTCTCGACAGACAAGGCTGTGGGATTCGTGGTTATTTTTTACGGTGGTTATTAGAAACTAAGGGCAACGCAATTACTAAACTTGAATGAAAAATTACTAAACTAAAATTACTAAACTAAACGCTACGCAATTAGCGTTAAACGGTTTCTGCAGTATCTTGTTTCCTGCGTTCTGATTGGCGCCAAGAGAGACGGTGCCACTCTTGTTTCCTGAGTTCTGATTGGTACTCCAATCACGTGACCGTCGGTCATGCGATTGGAGCCTTGGAGGACCAATCACGTGAGCTCGGTCACCGGGCTGGCGGGCTCAGTTGTATTCGAAACTATTTGATGTGCAGTGGCAGCCTTCCCTCTTAATTAAGCGTGCAATTTCTACATCGCCATGCGTAGAATTTGGAAAGTAAATTTCATGAATTGTGGTTAAAAATGGAATCTTATCGTGACTGGCTTGCTAGCCATCCCAAGCATGAAGGTATGGCGATATGTACATTGTGATCGAAAGACTTCGATGTGTCAAATATGGTAGAACTGGGGAAGCAGCTTTGAAAAGCCATGCAAAAGGCAGCAAACACACCAAGTTAGCTAAGCAACACAGTGAAGCGAAAAGCAAAGCGCAGTTACGCGTTTCTGATTTGTGGTTTGCTGACAGCCTGACAACAATGCAACTGCAGTTTCTTGCATCAAAAGTGTATCAGGGAATAGTCCGTTGCACAAGTCAGCAGTGAGTCAGCACGCATCAGCACTGCAATGTCTACTGCCAGTCTGCCACTGTGATTATATTGTAGAGATGCAGAGCAGCAGGCGTGTACCTATCCACTGCCAAAACCAACTCCAATGGCAAACTGACCAGCTTTGTAACAAAAGATGTTCTGACGTCTGAAATTTGGTGGGGCTGTCCACTGTAATTGATTCAAATGGTCACAACTCACATCTCACTTTTCTTTTACAAGCAACATTCAACATTGGCATAAGTGTTTTATTCTGCTGCATGTTCCCTGACAGTTCAATAGCTAGCGAGTTTTCATTTAGCAAAACCAAGGGAAGATATACCTAGGTATCAGCATATCACCACTTTTAGCTTGGGACCTTACTTTTTGGATATGCTGAAGCAAAATGCTCACGCTGCTGATAAATTTGTGCTGCCTTTCCTTTTAATGATTTTCAGATTTATATAATTTTTGTTCCTCTGAGTCTGTGTCTGCCTGCTCTATGCATTTACACGTATGCTAGCCTAGTTATCAACTTTAGGAGATGATAGAATATGCAAGGGCAGCACGGAGCTGCACGGTTACTCTCATGCTAAACCTGTCCTATACGACTAATAGCTACGAGTCCTGGAAAATCATACTGATTTTTTTTCTCAATATCGGTTTGCACCCTGACTTAATGCTTTCTCAGACTCTGACTGCAATCCAAGCATAATGAATGGTCTGGAAATATCTTGCCATAAAATACTAATATTAAATGTGCTTAAATTTTGTTCATCTTGATTGCTTGTGCTTCATTTGTAGGTATGTGTTATAATAGATGCATAAAAGAGCAATCAAGATGTTTTTTTACCATCTAAATAGTAAGCTTTCTATGTCAAAATCAGCAAATTTTGTGTACCTTAAGGCCCTGATTGAAAGCCGAGACTCGAGAGGCTTCGAACAGGCTCAGCTCTTCCCTAAGCGTTTCTTCACTAATTAGGATAGACTTTACTCCACTCGCAAATGAGATGGCGATATGGATTTTTCCATACTTCCCAGCTATTTATTTATAAGCGTCAACCAGTAACAAAAAATAGGTATGTAAACTTTGTATTAAAATATACGTTTAAAAACTACTTTTTAAAGACAACACTTCCAAAGAATCCAGTATCTCCAATCTTACAGATGTACAATGAATTTCTCATCTAATTAGCTGACAAAATTATTTTTTCAATTTTTTTAAAATTGAATTTTCATGCATGGTGGACTTTCCTGATTTACCCCACCTGCCCCTAATTACCTTGTTTGATGGTATAAATTTCTTTTCAGGCTTAAGTTTATGAATGATTATCCTTTCCGGCTTTCACCTTGTTGTATGTTACTGTAAAAGTGAAAAACCATATCCACAATGACATCCACCACTCTGAATTTAGTAGAACAAGTATCATCTAAGAAGAAAAAGCTGAACAAAAGTAAAAATGGGAAAAAGAAATGGAGGAAACATATAGATGTGACTGGTATAGAAGCTGCACTGGAACAGCAGGAAGAAGAGAGACTTGGGTGAGTTACTAGGGTTTCTGTTTATATATATAGTCAGATGGGGTAAGACAGGACCAAAATCACTAACAAGCCTGTAGCATCTATACCAAGAATAACTAAAAACCCTAAACCTATCACAAGGTGTATTTTTGCAATGGGCTTCTAAGCTACAACTCAGACGTTTTGCATCTAACATAGTTTCCTGTACAGATTAAAAAAAGTGAGCTGGTCCCATCTTACCCCACTGGGGTAAGATGGGACCAGGCATGGGGTAAGACAGGACCAACTGGCAATTCTTCCGTTACAAGGTTTTTAATAAAAGTACAAATCTGATATTCAATATTATCCATCTAGAAACACATTATTTGATTAAACAACCACTTGTTACTGTTTTGTGTTGCGGGAAGTCAACTCTAATGTCAGTCACATTGGAGTTTTTGTAATGAGAAAACTTTGTTAAGCATAGTAATAGTGGGTTGGCTTTGGTTCATTGTAGAGCACTGCTAAATGCTTCATGTGTATTCCATTAGTGTCATTGTCTGAAAATTTATCAAATTGGTAATAAAACCATAACCAGTGGATAATAACTTAAGTGTCAGATGTCATGTGTTTTCTTGCTAACTGCATTTGTGGTGCACTTCTTCAAACATAGCTCATGCCCTCTCTCAGAGTTGTGATCATAATTATTTTTCATGTTTCACACAATGATTTTTCCCTCAGCCAATCTTGCACATAGTTCTGCAGCTCACTAATGGGAAGAGACATCCCTATTTTCTATATCCCTTTGATGCCATTTAAAATAGTGCACTAAATTTCTTTAATTAATAAAGCTAACAAGTTATAATGAAGTTTGAGCAAAAGATAAAAATTTTGACCAAAATACTCCATGTACTACACAATAATAAATTCATTTAAAAACTATTTTTGATAAACTGTAGGGTAATAGAGGACCATTTGTGGGGTAAGACAGGACCATTTGTGGGGTAAGATAGGAAAGCTTGTGGGGGTAAAACAGGATCATTTAGTGGTCCCATCTTACCCCATGTCTGGTCCTTTTTTACCCCATTTTAGAATTGATGTCAGGCAGTGATGGTAGCAGGTAGGAATGCCTAGTATGTCTAAAAAGGTGCCTATTACTTAAGGTTACCTGCCTACATCCACAAACTTGGCCAAAATATTTTTTGTCAATAGACAGAGCTTATTTCCCAAACAGGGTTAACTATTTTGTGACCCTTCTTTACATAGGTTTTCTTTAAAAATTAGCCAGAAATTCATTATTTGCAGAAGAGAGTTGAAACAAACACTGAAATGACAGGCAATGATTGCTCTAACATATTCTTTTATCAAATTAAATTCAGTGCAATTAGAATGCATGCCATGGGCTGGTCCTTTCTTACCCCATGAAGCCTGCGATCCTGTCTTACCCCATTTGACTATATATGTAATTCTATAAACAGAAGATGTAATAATTCTGTTTGTATTTAATTCTGTGAAGGGAAAGTGTAATAATTCTTTTTATATGTAATTCTGTAAACACAAAATGTAATAATTCTGTATATATGTATGATGGATGAGTTACCATTGGCATCCATTGTGAGTGCAAAGCTTTTTTGAGTGTAAAGCATGAGTGCAAAGCGAGGCACAGCCTAAGAAACAACTTTCTCTGTGTCTTGGCCTCGTTGCCAAGAGGCCGCAGATGGGTCAGTTAATGAAATACAGGTTGTTAGTCTTACTGTACTTATATTCAGTCCATCTTCACATGACGTGCTCTGCAAAACAGAGTAGCATAAGATGGCAGAACTTATATTAGTTTTAATTGTAATTCCTCTGAACGTTAGTCAGCAACAACTGGGCAATTCAAGACAATTTAAGATGATTCAGATTTCTATGTAGGTGGCAACATGAAAATATTTTGTCAAGGAAAAGTTCCGTTCAGGGTTATACAGTACAAACTGCCTGGTTATGTTCCCCCAGACAATTAAGAATAGGAATTGATTCATAAATCATAGACAATTTGATTAATTTGCACAATCACTTTAATATTGCAGTAAGCTAGAAAATCAGTCTCAGAAAAAACAAACACAAGTTATAAATGGGGCAAAACTGCTAGGATATGACATATCAAGATCATTTATGAGAGTTTCTGGATTCAATGACACAACATAGTTTTCAGGCTGTGCATTATGAGATAGAAAATCATGAAACAGTAAACAATGCTTGAACATCCCTGCTCATATTACTGATAAATCAGGTAAAATTAAACATGAAAATGATGCAAAGTTATCAGAAAGTGACTAACTCATATTCATGTTATCTGAGAGAAACTTTGTTATCTGAGAGTTTTGAACACCAGAACTCTTATAAAAAAACCTGTATATATGCTAAGTAATAATGCATAGGACAAGTTAAGCTACTCGCCAGGAGGATTCTATCAAATTAATATTTGGTAGAAACAAGTTTGCTGAGTCACATTACAGACAATGTTCTACGACGACACTTTAAGAACGTGAAGAGGATAAGTCGCGATAAAATTACTTACTATTATATATTGCATAACTACACCTTGTGATAGGTTTAGGGTTTTTTAGTTATTCATGGTATGGATGCTACAGGCTTGTTAGTGATTTCGGTCCTGTCTTACCCCATCTGACTATATACTCTATCTAGGTGTCACATCGCTGTTTATCCCGGTAACAGGGGACCCATCGATGCCTTTCTAACCGCCAAAAATTTTTAATAACCCAGAATGCGCCTGTCTGTGTATGCAGATACTAAAAAATATTAAAACTAATAATAATGCTTATGCTGGGATTTATCCCAGCACACTCTGTATATGTGAGCAATTTAAACCCAAGAAAACAATTCTTTGATTTGATTGATTGAAGATACAAAATATATAAGAAAATTGTTTTTTACATATATTTGAGTTGGTCACTCATCCCTCCAAGGCTTCCTTTGGTTGCTCAAATGTTAAGGCCATCTGTTTAAACATTGTTCCTTTGCATTGGTACATATAATCTTGAAGCAGTTACAGAGGTTATGCACTCTCCAACCACTCGCTGGAAGCGACTCACTGCCCGTACAAATATGGGAGCTCCACTTCGCCAGCACCAGGAACAAATCCCGCTCTTGTGGTACAAAAACATATCCTGATTGTAAGCAAAATGAACTGACTTATTCATGTACTCTTTAGGGAACAAATTTATTGGGAGAGTAACAGGTTTAATTCTGTTCAAGAGATACCGGGACAATATCCTGATCATAAGCAAAGCAAGCAAACTTGAAATTCACTCATTACTCCAGGACTTGAATTCACTCCATGAGTCCATTAAATTCACTCTTGAGTTGAGCAACCATAAGCTTAATTTTTTGGATCTCACATTGCCAGAAGAGGAGCTCTCTTAGTAGTGCAAGGCCCGGCATATTCATATAGATAAGGAGGTGACTGAGCTGGATAATTTCCTTCTAGGTTTTATTAAGATATATTTTTTATATATTTAAATTTTTAGAGCTCTTTTCTTTAGTTGGATTTAATAATAATTATTTAAAAAAAGCTTAACAATCCTTTAAGAGCGATAGCGCCATTTAAAAATATTGATAGGCTCTTTTAAGTTGTTTTATTAATAGCGCTATTTTGTTTTTCTCATCAGGCTCTTGGATCTTATTTAATGATATCTTTCTTTACAGGAAACCTATTAGTATATTAGGATGTCCATTTTCTGAGTTTGTTTTTTCCAGCCTAGACTTGACTAGGAATTCTTTCAGGTTTTTATTTCTTCTGAGAGCAATGGTCGGTGGTGATGGGATGATAGGTCTGAGTTTGGGGTCATCATTTATATAATTCCAGTGTTTATTTAGAGGCTTAGAGCCTTCCTCACTTCATGGTTTGAAGTCCCAGTGTGAGTGCAAAGCAAGGCACAGCCCAAGAAACAAGTAGCTGTTCATCCCAAAATTACTCTGTATGTGTGAGCAATTTAAACTCAAGAAAACAATTCTTTTATTTTTGTGACTGAAGAATCAAAATATATAAGGAAATTGTTTTTTCTTATATATTTTGTATCTTCAATCTCAAAAATCAAAGAATTGTTTTCTTGGGTTTAAATTGCTAACACATACAGAGAAAGCTTGGGATGAGTGGTTACTTGTTTCTTGGGCTGTGCCTTGCTTTGCACTCACATTAAAACCTAGAAGGAAATTATCCAACTCGGTCACCTCCTTATCTATATGAATATGCCGGGCCTTGCACTACTAAGAGAGCTCCTCTTCTGGCAATGTGAGATCCAAAAAATTAAGCTTATGGTTGCTCAACTCAAGAGTGAATTTAATGGACTCATGGAGTGAATTCAAGTCCTGGAGTAATGAGTGAATTTCAAGTTTGCTTGCTTTGCTTATGATCAGGATATTGTCCCGGTATCTTTTGAACAGAATTAAACCTGTTACTCTCCCAATAAATTTGTTCTCTAAAGAGTACATGAATAAGTCAGTTCATTTTGCTTACAATCAGGATATGTTTTTGTACCACAAGAGCGGGATTTGTTCCTGGTGCTGGCGAAGTGGAGCTCCCATATTTGTACGGGCAGTGAGTCGCTTCCAGCGAGTGGTTGGAGAGTGCATAACCTCTGTAACTGCTTCAAGATTATATGTACCAATGCAAAGGAACAATGTTTAAACAGATGGCCTTAACATTTGAGCAACCAAAGGAAGCCTTGGAGGGATGAGTGACCAACTCAAATATATGTAAAAAAAATTTTCTTATATATTTTGTATCTTCAATCAATCAAATCAAGGCAGGGTGGCCCAGTGGTTACAGTTCAGAGTACCAAGATTGGAGCAGAGAGGCGCGGGTTCGATCCCAGCTCTGTGCGCCAGTTTCTGGTCAGAATCGGCAAGGAGGCCGGGCGGTTAAGCACAGCAGAATTGTAGCAGTGTGTTGCGAGTTCGAGACCGCAAAATGCTGTGAATGTTCTGCGATGTTAAGAATCGGCGACAGGCCTACGGCCTAATAAACGCTGAAACCGCTATTATTATTATTAAAAAAATCAAAGAATTTTCTTGAGTTTAAATTCTCACACATACGAAGAAAGTTTGGGATGAATGGCTACTTGTTTCTTGGGCTGTGTCTCGCTTTGCACTCACATATGTAATTCTGTAAACAGAAAATGTAATCATTTTGTTTATATGTATGATGGATGAGTTACCAATAATTATCTATGTATATATTCATGAGAGTTTCATTTTTCTTCAATAGTGGCTTGGGAGAAGTCACATCCAACTTCATGTACCTGGACACTGAAGATGGAGCTGCTGGTAATGTTGCTGCCATGTCATTGAGTGGCAAAGCTTATCATTATACTGAAATTTCTAAATTGCATTAATTGAATGGCAGAGCTTATCATTATAGTGAAGTTTCAAAACTAATTGCATTACTTGAATGGCAGAGCTTTCATTACAGTGAAATTTCAAAATTAATTGTATTACTTGAGTGGCCAAAATTATCATAGTACTTTAGTGGCAGAGATTATCACAATACTTGAGTGGCCAAGCTTATTATGATTCTCAAAGAAGCCAAGCATTGTAGAAATTAGTTAGATCCATATTGCATTTGTCTAATCAATGTTTTCCAATCTCTTGCTATTTACAATAGGTATTCATTAACTGATGATGGAATATCTTCATGCTTAATGTCTTGTGTTTAATAAGTGTGTGGTTGCCCACAGATTCTACCAAAGAAAATCAACCTGAAGATGACCAAACTGCTAAGAAAAAGCTGCCAACTCTGCGGCTGGAATACACGGTTGATAGTAAGACTGGTCTCAAGGCTACAGACCGGCCCAAGTCTGACAAGCTCATTCCTGAACTACAACTTCAGGCTGGCCTACCTGGCAGTAAAGGTCCTTTTACACAGTAAGTAATTTTAATTATTATTTGAGAGATAATGTAATTTTTTTAAGAGCAATATTCTCTATGCTTGTTTCCAACTTTACAAGGCAGACTAAGCAGTCTCTGTCTCTGTCACTATTGTTAATCTCCATTGAGGTTCTTTCCCTGTTTGGTTAGTTCATCCCCTGTTCAGTTAGTTCATTCCCGGTTCAGTTAGTTCATCCCCTGTTCAGTTAGTTCATTCCCTGTTCAGTTAGTTCATTCCTTGTTCAGTTAGTTCATTCCCTGTTCAGTTAGTTCATTCCCTGTTCAGTTAGTTCATTCCCTGTTCAATTAGTTCATTCCCTGTTCAGTAAGTTCATTCCCTGTTCAGTTAGTTCATTCCCTGTTCAATTAGTTCATTCCCTGTTCAGTTAGTTATTTCCCGATCAATTATTTCTTTTCCTGGTTAATATGTCTTTTCCTTGTTCATTTAGCTTATCTCCTGCCAGTTTTCTAATCATATCTTCTAGATAAAGGTTTTATTTTGCATCTGATTAATACATTATTTTTGCCCAGGTCCAGGTTCCGAGAGAAGGACGCATTCTTGCACCAGGTGCAGCAGAAGACTCGTCACAGCAAGAACCAGCGGACGGCGCACAAAGCTCTTGTCAAGGCTGCTAATAGCTTCACACCTACCAAATCATTCAGGAAAATAATCAAATCAAAACAGAAACTTTCATTTGACAAAAATTTGTGGTCAGAAGCACCAGGTTTGTTCCCCCTCTTTTTTTCTCCTTTTCCTGGCTTGTGTGAGTTAGTTTAGTTTCATTATTTTCACTTTGAAACTAATAACTAGTATTTTTTTACTTTGAAAAGAGACAAGCGTATTTTTGTTCTAGACTGTGATATTTATTTGGAGCAGCTGGTTCACTGATCTACTTGCTTATCTTGTGTAGGTAATATCATATGATAATAAATTTCTTGAGAGCCACTGGCTTGGTATTACAGCAGTTAATCATGGATATTACCCAATTAAATCCATCACTCGCTGCATTTCTTATTCATAAATAACACCTAATTTGCCTATTATGTTATAGATGTCATCCATGGCATCTCTCATTCATAAATAGAACTCAATTTACCAATAAAGCTATAGATATCACCCACTGCATTACTTATTAATAAATAGAACCTAATTTGCCTATGATTAATTACGGATGCCATTCACTGTCTCATTTATCTATAGAAGCCGATTTTTAGTGTCATGCCTTGACTCCAGTTTAGCGTTGTATTTCTTTTTATATATATATTTTTTTGAGGATTTTTTGTTCGTTGTTCTGTGATTGTGCAATAATGAGCAACTCTTCCACGCAGTTCCCTCAAGAGAAGACGAGCTGTCCGCTGAGGCCATCACCCACATGAAGCTCAGTCTAGGCCAGCAGCCCATCAATAACAGATCCTCCAAGATTAAAGGCAAAAACATCCCTGCCGTGCCTCTGCCTCATCCTGGTGCGTTACTTCACTTGAGTGATATATATATTTACCCTCGTGATCGTTTTACATTTTAGCTATTAAAACGCTCTTTGCAGTCTTTTTAAGAGTGATTTAAAGGAATGCAATACCATTTTTAATTTCTTAAGATATGATTTGCAGTATCTAAGTTATCAGCTATTAAGGCACTATAATTTCATTGTAGAGTCAAGTCTTTGAACTTATTGGAACTGTTAGGACAAAAATACAATAAAAATTAATTATTTTCTTTTGGTTTATCCTTGAGTTCTGATCTTTGAACTTTCTAGGGTGTTGGCGTAACTTTGATTCATTTTATCCTCGTAGGTTTGTCCTACAACCCTGATCTTGTAAGTCACCAGAAGTTGGTGGCCAAGTCTGTCAAGTCAGAAATGAGTCGCTCGAAGCAAGCCAAGTATACAAACGACATGCGCACCTGCGACTACCCAAAGGTAAACCAGCCCTTATATTGTCATAGGAAATGATTTAAGTGCATGAACTACATGAGAACCTGCAACTAAGCCCTAGGTAAACCAGCCCGTCTATTGTCATAGAAAATTATTTAAGAAAGAATTCATCAGCGACGGAGTATGGACTCAATTGTGCATCATCCACGTGTTACGTGCTAGAAATACTTGGGAGATACCGGTAACTATAATATCTGTTCTACTTTTTTGTGTTCAAAACACTGCAACATATGTTCTTTGCTACATATCCCTTCAAACAAAAAATAATTTTTGTACACGGGATCGTGTGCAAAGTATTTGACGTTATTATATCCTCTTTACATTACCAGTATTTCATGCATTATTGCAGGGTGCTGAGATTGTGGATAACAAAGAGAGCATCAGGGACATGGAGGCCGTCCACGCTAATACGCCCGCCAGCAAAGAGGTGAGGCTTCAGCATTAGCAGCCCCTGTGTTTTTTTGATATTTCCTACAAGTTGTACAAAGTTTTGAGCATTTATATTTACGGATAAAGAAGGCTAACTGTTTACTGTTCATGGATTTTGCTAGATGATTATGGGATCTTTTTCATCCATGTCGTATCTATGTAATTTTATAAAAACATGATGAATTTGAATACAAATGCTGAAGTAAATGCTGTATTTGAATGCTGAAGTAAGAAAAGCTTCAATGTCAAATTGATTTAGTAAAACGCTATGGGAAATTTAATAGGGTTCATTCATCCATCAACATATTACCCTTCTTTTACCTCAATATTTCGATTCATTCTTCCATTAGTTCTCTTAATTTTGTCTATTGCCCCCACTTTCCTTCACCTCCCTCTCTCTCTCTCTCTCATGTCTCCTACAATTCTTTCTCTCTTTAACTTTTCCTCCCGCAATTCTTGTCCGTTTTATGTCTGTTCTGTTGCCTCTGTTCTCAATCTTTAACTGTCTCAATACTCATTGTGCTTAATCGTATCATTCGTCATGCAAGCCATGTATGATGAAAAATGTAAGCCATAGTTAACTATTATACTATACAGTATAATTTTATACACAGAAACCCATGGAGGACGAGGACGAGGCCTCGGTTTCGGCGGAGGCCCGTAAGATGGACAGGCGGACGCACGCTCAGCGGTTGAAGTACCGCCGCCATCACGAGGCCATCAGGCTCGCCAAGCGCCTCAAAGACAAGAAGAAGCGCGAGAACGCCATCCTTAGGTGCGCTCAAGGCCCGTGGCTTTGCTGATTCTATCTGCATAGGCTCTAATTTAACTTGTGTAGTTCCTTGAATCTGCTTAATTTAATTTCTGGAAATCAAACTCATTTTAGGTCCCTTTATAAGGCTAAATGCCTTACCTGATCTAATTTAATATTTTGTTCAGTGAGTTTTTCGTACTATGCTGTTATGAATGAAGAAAACGAACCTTACAATTATAAACTTTTATCATCAAAGTACAGCTATTGCAGATATCTCATCAAGCAACATTTACGTGTTCAATCTAAGAGCTGTTGGGACATGAGTTGTAGCTCCATCACCTCTAATAGTAAAGAAGAAACTACAAGATTTGAGTTTATGTGGTTTGGATGTAAAGCACGAAGTAGGATGGATCCCTTTTCAATTAGTTCATTCCCTTTTCAGTTAGTTCATTCCCTGTACAGTTAGTTCATTCCCTGTTCAGTTAGTTCATTCCCTGTTCAGTTAGTTCATTCCCTGCTCAGTTAGTTCATTCCCTGTTCAGTTAGTTCATTCCCTGTTCAGTTAGTTATTTCCCGATCAATTATTTCTTTTCCTGGTTAATATGTCTTTTCCTTGTTCATTTAGTTTATCTCCTGCCAGTTTTCTAATCATATCTTCTAGATAAAGGTTTTATTTTGCATCTGATGAATACATTATTTTTGCCCAGGTCCAGGTTCCGAGAGAAGGACTCGCCCACGAGCAACCCACGAGTTGAAAGCTACAGGAATGCTCTCATAGCTAAATTAGGAGAGAAAAAAAATCTTAATGTTGACCGCAGTGTTGCCTCGTTTAAACGCGTACTCAAACATGAAAAGAAGATGTTTATACGTGACATGAAAGATGATTCACTCGCCGCCGATTTCCAAAAGACCCAGTATTCTAGGTTTAGTTCAGAAGGATACAAGCCGACTTTGCAAGAAATTGCGGACACTTTATTTGGCCCTGATTGCAGTGATGAGAGCCTCCCGGCTGATACCGTCACTTCACCTTCTACCACAAAACATTCGCAAACTGACAACCTGTAGAATCATCTTCTCGCTGTCGACTTCGGGTTACAGTAGTTCGACTTCTAATGCCCCAATTACGACAAATAAATCCCGAAAATCGCGACCGATTTCTCCCAGTCATGAAACGACCTCTTCTTCAGCTTCAAAACCCACCGCGTTACAGTCATCTTCTTTCTATTCGTCTTTTAAAATCCCTAAGAAATCGCTAGTAACGGCAAATGATGATCAGGTTATCAGGTCCACAACTTGTGCATCGAATTCTGTGACTCGCAGTATCGAATTCTCGGACTGTAGTAATGTTACTCAGAAAGATGTATCATATCTTCAAGGCAATTCAAATGTCTCTTCTCCCACTGTTTTGCCGCGAGATTATGAAAAATTTCAAACTGCGTGGTAAAAAAAGACCAAATTTGGGTACATCCATATCCTGCCTCAATAATTCTTAATGCGATGCAAGTTTTATAGATTCTTCAGAAGCAGATGTGTGCATTACTTCGTTTTGATCCATGTGGTTATTCTAACCATTCTTAATCTTTTTCATGTTGAATATATGACGATGTACCCATTTCAATAGTTTTTTACAAGGATACACTTTCTCTTATGTTGTTGATTCAATATTATTGTGTTTGCCATCTTCCAAGCAGTCTTAATCTTTTTCATGTTGAATATACATATAACGATGTACCCATTTCAATAGTTTTTTTACAAGGATACACTTTCTCTTATGTTGTTGATTCAATATTATTTAGTCTGCCATCTTCCAAGCAGTCTTAATCTCTTTCATGTTGAATATATAACGATGTACTCATTTCAATAGTTTTTTTTACAAGGATACACTTTCTCTTATGTTGTTGATTCAATTTTATTCAGGCTGCCATCTTCCAAAATTTCATGCCCCTATACGAAGTTCTTGAACTCCTGCTAGACTAATTATCACAAAGGAATAAAGTGGCCATCAAGAGACTCTAGAACGGTGGGTAGATTTGTTCTATTTTTTATCGAGCAAGCTGGTATGTATTCAGTATACTCCAATTGCATCTCTATGTTCTTCGAAGACATCATTAGCATCAAATTTAAACGGTTTCTATCTCTCTTACTACAAAGGCTAGAGGAATGCAATTGGCATTAACATTTATTGCTATTTCACATTGATAGTTTAAGCAACAGAGGCAGCAGGACTAAAATTAAGTAGCATTAATATTTTATGACACAAACTTTCTACCTAAAACCGCAGAAATCTAGATCTGCTAAATGTAATTTACTTTACGTAGGTATTAGACGTCTTTTAGACGCATTTTAGCCAATGATCCAGTAAAATTGTAGAGCTTGTTTCATCCAGGGTTGAAATTTTTCAATAAAAGGTAAAAGCACTCCTGCAGACATATAAATGGTCCATACAACTGGAGTACAAATGCGCATCTCTATAAATAACTTTTCATAAAACCTTCCTATGTTCTTTCTTGCCTTATAAAAATTGCCAAGATGTTAAATTTCTTTCTAGCATGGTCTAAAAAAAGTTTCAAGCGCATAGATAATGTCAAGTGACCGGTGGTTACACAAGTTCATATCCTAAACTCTTTGCTCTCTCTGTACTAGCTTTACAATCCTATTGTGTACACAATAACTTAAAAGATTTCATACACTTGTGTGCATTACAGACCTCAGATTGAATTTGCACCTGAATCTTGAATATTGAAACTAAAAAATAATCATTTTTCCTTCATTTAGTAAGCCAAACCTCGATTTTCAATTTCGAAAAAAATACAATAAAATACAAAGTATTTCACGTCATTTTAAATTTTCGCCCTTTCTTTCTACTATATATATAAGAATTGTATACTCAGAAATATATTATTACTTTAAATGTCGTTTAATTTTAGGGTAACCTTACAACAACGTTCATAATTTTATGAAGCCTTTATGCAAGAAGAACACACGTAAGAAACTTAATAACACGACGATAATGATACATGTTATTATTGTTGATTATTAGAGTATTGTTAATATAAACTCAAATAATTGCTTCACTAAATAACAAATCTATGAAGACAGACGCAAGTGTATAATATGTGATGTTGAAATTATAAAATATATCGTGTCATCAATATATTAGAATAGTTATAATTATAAAATATAATGTCAACGAAATATAAAAAATCAAGATAAGTGATTGCAAGTCGGTTAAATGTGAAGAGCATCCTCCAGTACAGAGGCACTCGCGATCAGTTTATCAAGCTAAAAGATACATGGGAATAATTACGTTGTTTTGTAAATACGCTAATTGACATGAAACAATAACAAACAATTACCTGCTGGCAACAGGAAATACTTCATTAATGAAGAATATGAACGTACATTCATAAACAAACTTCTTCGATATTTTAAAGAACACCTTGTGTGTTCTATAATCAAGTACCGGTCATCATTGTACCAATGTTCAAAATTGTAACATGAATTCATTCACCTACAATGTTGCCAGAAGCCTTTCAAACCAATAAGGATATATTCGCTCATCGACAATTTGCTATATTGTGTAACAAATAATTTTGAACACATTCTCAAGGCGAGCACCTTTGGCATGAATTATTGATGTACAATTTTTCACGACATTGATTCACCAGCATGTTTTTTTCCGATTTAAAAACATCCATAATATAATGGATTATTTAATTATTATTGGCATTTTAATAACTATATAATCCTTTAGCGATCAAATAGCACTAGTTAATCGGTAGGGGCAAAAAAATCTACTTTTATAAATCCTTCCTAAGTGAAAAAGTATGTTAGATACATAATGTAATGGAACTTGGATATTCGTAAAACTAACATGAAATAGAAAAAATCGGGAGTGAAACTTAACTGCTGGTTTCACTACAAAAATATTATACCGTACTTCCCGAATTGCAGGAAAACGTTTCCCAACAGAAATGACAAAGAGCCAAGCCATCTACCCACTTAAATATTTTAGTATTAACTATTCCTCCATTTGAGAGCTTATTAATTAATTTAATTTAAGCCATAACGCAGCCAAACTCAGTATTGCCTCAAAAATTAAAAGGAGCTGCAATTTTTTTAACTTTTTGTTTTGCACAATTTAGTATTCACAAATTACGTACGAATGTTCTTGAAATTGACGGATGGTTGAAAATTAAAGTTAATATTGCTCACTAACGACATAGCTTTTGTATAGACTCAACTAAAACACGTTCGTAATTAATTACCTAATAATGGTTACACGTTTGTAACTAATTACTTAGTAATAGTTACACACTTTTCTAATGAATTACCTAACAGTAGTTACACTTTAGTGACGAGTTACTTAGTCGACATGTTGAGGACCGAATATTAACATTATCCGGCTACCTACAGCTTCCAGTACAGAAAACAAGTTAACTTATAACAAGCTCCTCGAACCGTTAAACGAACATCATAAAAATGTACAGTCTGAAATTAAAAACTGTGTCAAGAGATAAAAGAATTAATGTAATAAAATCGTTAAAAAAGATTTCAGTGACGGAATACCAGCGACTTGTCAATTCAATTTCATGATGAACGTAGTTTCACTGTGAGGTTGCCCAATATTATGTATAAATAAACGACGTACATGACAAGAGGTAACCTACTTCGTTTGCGCTACTTGAAAATAATTACTCATGTTTCTCGTCAATTGACATCTTGGACTCAGCTTCAGGGATTTCATCCTCAATGGATATATCGACAACAGCAGCTGAGGCAGTAGTTCCGTTAACGTTAGTTTTCTTAATCATGGTCTGCATCTTATCTTTCTTATCATATTCATCTTCCTCAGGTGTTTCAGCCTGACCACTTCTCGCATCTTCATTATGTCTGTAGTACTGACCACTAAGCTGCTGTATTAACGGCGTATAATCGCCACTAGCTCCTTCAGAAACCAACTTTTTCTTGCATTCACATCTCTCCATACCAGCAGCGGTATTTTTTTTAGCATCATCATTACTGTGCTCGGTTTTGCACGATGCACAACGAGATTTTGTATCGGAAGACGATAAGGAATTATGAGCGTTGGTGTTAGTTGATAGTAGCAGGTCCCAGTGTATGGTAGTGTTGAGAACTTCGCGTTGCAGCCAAACTTCATAGGAGCGAGTAAACTCTTCCGTGAGCTCAACTTTGCGCCCAAGCACTGAAGTTATGCAGTTGTCCACGGGCTCGAACTCACTCTCGCCCTGAAAGTGCGTATATTTGGACTGAATGGTTCATAGTGAGTGGGGGTTAATAGCCTATATACCTAGGGCCATACTTTCAAAACTCGCTAAGTGAACGTAAGTACTTACGATTTATTTTCTTTACAATGATTGGTGGATTTTGCTTGAAAGGCCGTCAGTGATTGGCGGAGGAACTTACGATCTCTTAACTTTTTTTGAAAGTATAGGCCCAGGTCTTTTATCTACTAGTTATTAGATAAGAGCCGTTTGAGGTTAATAGCGAACAAGTCAATGAACCACTAGAAATTAAATAATAGATTAGTTATTAATTATCAAGCAAATAATGGAACTAAAAACCTTTATCAAATGTAATTAGACAATTTTCGAAAACCATTAGTCAACACAATACTTGAAAAATTGTTGTCAATAAATTAATCCTCAGGACAGTGACAAGCAGTGAGGAAAACGTTGACTTATCGCCATCAATGAACATGATCACTGGAAGATGAAGCGTTATCATGTAATACTGGTGCAGGTAATACTGGTAAGGTAATACCAGCACAGATTACAGGTAATAACAGCACATGTTACAGACAACACCAGCGCATGTTACAAGTAACACCAGCACATGTTACAGACAACACCAGCACATATTACAGACAACACCAGCACATGTCACTGACAGTGTGGGCGTGGTGGTAGCGGGTAGCGGCGCGTGTTAAAGCGGTCAACCACCGCTTAAAGTGAGCACATGTTACAAGTAACACCAGCACATGTTACAGACAACACCAGCACATGTTACAAGTAACACCAGCACATGTTACAGACAACACCAGCACATGTCACTGACAGTGTGGGCGTGGTGATAGCGGCGCGTATTGAAGCGGTCAACCGCCGCTCTAAGTGAGCACTCTTCGGTCTGGAAGTCCCAGGGCCGAGCGTCGGGATCGTTGCCGTAAGCCCAGTCATCGTTGAGACGATGGCGAACCTGCATTACAAATACATTAATTATTACTCAGTACTTATCTTTGCATACTTCAACCAATTTGCATCTATACATACTCCTGCAATTACAGGGTCATCAATATTTAGCGTTACATAGTTTTTTCAAAATCAATACGCTCGCAAAACCGTCAAATGTGTCGTATGGAACCATGTCGACTGTTCTCCGGAAGGACCTAAATTTGTCCCCCATTCAAGCAAGTCAAAAAACACCAACTGTCTTCTCAAGTTGCTGACAAACGCCTCCAAAGATCCAAGATTCTTCTTTCCCGCANAATGCTAAATTCAAAATAAGTAACAAATTTGATCCCTATTTTTGAGCATACAAATGCCACAAATGGTGCTCACCATCTGCTATTGTAATGCTAAAAACGCTAATTACTACCTATATAAACCACAAATTTGATCACCATTTTTGAGCATACAAATGCCACAAATGGTGCTCACCATCTGATAGATTGCAGACAAGGTCTTCATGTTACTCTTGCGCCATTGTCTGCCAAGATATTTAGTCTGCATCTTGAGCAGCTTGAGAACGTAGAGCTGCATCATAGCGTGCTTCACCTGAAACATTACACAAAATTATGATGAACAAAATTAATTAATCACGGATTACCACGAACAAAATAAATTTGAACAAATGTTACACGCTCGTCGCCGATGATGTAACATTACAATTCTTATTAAAATTCCGATCCAAACAAATTACTATAGTAAAAATTAAAAATTATTCGAAAATTTCCAAGACCAGGGGCGTTTCAAAACTCGTTAAGTGAACGTAAGTACTTACGCTCTATTTTCTTATTTATGATTGGTGGATTTTGCTTGAAAGGCCGACAATGATTGGCTAATGAACTTACCATCTCATAACTTTTATTGAAAGTATGGCCCCTGAATATTGGCATATAATAATATACTGTCGTCATCAAGGCTCAAACCCATGAGAATAAAATGCCAATGTCGTAAAATCGCGTTTGACTTTCTCGCAATTTGATTTTGAGATGCAACTTCCAGTATCAAAATTCACCATACATGTTCACATCTTATCACTCACCATGAGAGTACGTATGAGTGTTCACCATGAATGTTCACTATCTTATCACTCACCATGAGAGTACATATGAGTGTTCACCATGAATGTTCATTATCTTATCACTCACCATGAGAGTACGTTTGAGTGTTCACCATACATGTTCACCATCTTATCACTCACCATGAGAGTACGTTTGAGCTGTCTCTTATACACATCTAGATGTGTATAAGAGACAGGGCGCATACAGAGGCAATCATTGGGGATTGCTGCTCATACAGAGGCAATCATTGGGGATTGCTGCTCGAGACAAAGAGGCAATCATCAGTGATTACTGCTCAAAACAAACAGGCAATCATTGGTGATTGCTGCTCATACAAAGAGGCAATCGTTGATTGCTGCTCGAGATAAAAAGGCAATCATTAGTGACTGCTGCTCGAACAGAAATAAATCAGCAATAAGGTCATTTCTTTTCTCATTCATTTGACATGCCACAATATGAATTAACTTCATCAAGAAAAACCATGAAGAATTTTCTCACCTAGTATTTTTAAACATATAAATCAAATTATTGAAATTAAAGACTTACCTGCTAAAATGGTGGGCACTGTCCATGTTGTGTAGCTGCGGTTGCAGATTTTCTAGGAGATATTTTCTAATAACACCACGAAAAAATCTCATCTGAGTGATCTGACACAGTCATTTTTATGAATGAAGGTAAAATATTTTAATTTTTAATTTATTTTATTAGTTAATTAAATTTGTAATGTAACTCACCCGACGGAACGGCCTGCGTCTGACCATGTTGTGTTGCTGTTGCTGCTGATCCAACATGTCCGTGGCCGGGGCGGGAGGAGAGGCCGGACGAAGAGTGCGACAAACGCTCACCTATTTCATTTTTATGTATTAAGTGATATCAAATTTTGCAAGTATTCTACATATAAAAATTTACCTATTCTTTAGAAAAAAATTCTCATACATGCGTGTATCAGTTACATGTATATGATGCATTATGTGGTGTGAAATTTCCAAAAAAAATCATATAGAAATTTCACTTTCTCCTATAAAATACTTTTCACGTAGAAACTAATTGATCTTCTGTGAAATATTTCTTATGTATGCATGTATGAAGTTTCATTAAAAAATAGTTTACACATATCTTTCTATCATTAGAGCAAGTATTAGTTATCTATACCAATAATAGGGACTATTATGCGCAGAAGCCTATCAATTGCTTCCTTACATATAAAGGATAAATAATGAGGATAAATATTCAATATATTCTAAATAATATAATAGTTTATGTCAAGGAGACGCTCACCGTGTCTTCCTCAGGACCAAGGCAGGGCAGTCCTGCCTTCACGCGATACTCGCCTGCACAAATAAATAAATAATGAAGATTTAAGGATTTACTATTTTTGGTGCAATATATGCAATCAATAAATGCTCCTAATTATCATGCCACTGGCCTCATAATGATCATTATCTAGCATTATTTTGATATGATTATTACTATTGTAATATTTACTTTTATAATTATAGAAATAATGATTATTTCTTACTATAAAAGGAATGATAACAATTATTATTATTATTGCATATTATTCTCACTATAATCATGCCAAAGGTCCCTATATATGAGGTTATTAACAACACAAACCGAACCATGTTGGTATTCATTATTATTTTGGTATTCATTAATATCTCACATTTACAGGTTTTGTTATTTATTATCTCACATTTATGGGTTTTGGTATTCATTATTATCTCACATTTATGGGTTTTGGTATTCATTATCTCACATTTATGGGTTTTCATATTCGTTATTATCTCACATTTATAGGTTTTGTTATTTATTACATCACATTTATAGGTTTTGGTACCTATTCATTATTATCTCGCTTTTATAGGTTCCGATATTGATTATAATCTCACATTTATAGTTTTGGTATTAATAATCTTAGTTACATTTATAGGTGTTGGTACCTATTGATTATTATCTCACATTTATAGGCCCATAATGCCTCAGTGCCGCCCAGGGTGACCAAAAGGATCTTCCAGAGCAGCAGCAGGAGCTTCCTGATGGGGAAATGCGGAGGCGAGGAGTTACAGAAGCGCGTCACCATCCCCAGCAGCGTCACCGCCAGCAGCTCGTCAGTTTCTTCTTGGGGCTGCAAACACACAAAAATAGTCTAATTTTGTCTATTAAGATTGTGCAATGGATCAAAAACTTAAACTATATCTGAGATTGGATTAAGAGACTAAACTTTAACTCAGATTGAATTAAGGATCTAAACTATATGATACCATCTAAGATTGGATTGAGATATACAAGGACAGCAGTGTATAAATGATCAAGGCTAAAAGCTACCTATATCTAAGACGAGATTAAGTCTTCTTGTTACTGCAAACATACTGAAGTATAAAATTTTATTTAGATCAAGATTTATCTAAGATTACCATGCAAAAAATCTGATAATGTTAAAAAAAGATGCGTACTGGCACACAAAATACAGTTTTATCATGTAGCCCCTCAGGCTTAAATGAGAATCCTTTCATGAGCCTTTAAAATTATAATAAAATATAATATTTGAATAATAATTTATTACAATAAATATTATGATACAAAAATGAGAATAATAAATGGTGTTGGTCAGAAAATAATTTGGCTTAGTCTCCAGTAAATATTTTTACCAGTGCCAGATCAGCACAAAAAGCTTCACGAAGTTGTTTTTCATGGTCAGTGTCCGCCAGTGAAGGCCAGCGCAGTGTCTCGACCATCGTGTAGAGGATGGACAGCAGTACACGAAGTTGAGATGAGGAGGACAGTGTGAGGTGACCGCAGCCTTGTTGTTGCTTATTGCTTACTGAAGTACTGCTGCCATCTGGAGACACCCAGCTCCTGCAGTCATCAAAAAATAGTTAATTGTCACCAGAAGCCTAATTAATTATTATAATAGTGGAATTTATTGCTGAGCTGTTATGTTATTGTGCAGCTTTTCTTTAAGCCAATAGAATGAACTAGAATGACCACATCACCAAGAAATCACATTCAGACAGTTATGCAGAAGATATCATTTGAATAGGTATCTCAATAGCATAGGTAATTTTGCTTCGATTCAAAATTCAATTCAGCACTTCAGGCAATCAGAAACAAAATGTTTTATTTCTTCGACATTGATAATATGAATGCAGTGCACTTGATAAAATAGATTAAATACTCAAATTTAATATTAAGAAGCTGCACACATGATGACCAGGCATTGCAGCGCAATAAGGTTACAAATATAGCAAATTATTCTTTAATCAAAAATAATTATAACACGTGGTAGAGCTGAAATGGATTACTTACTCAATTTCAATATTAAGAAGCTGCACACATGACGACCAGGCATTGCAGCGCAATAAGATGAAGCAATTTCTGCGCACCCAACCAACTTGCTCCTGGTCACTCTGCACCTCACCCCAGCATCCCTGTTTAGTTTATGTATTATAATAGTTTACATTGTAGTATATACAGTATGTATATGATAGTACATTAGAATAATTACCTACTGCACTCTACTAAATTATTTTCTATACAACCTTAATACTTGAAAATTAAGCACTGTTTTATTTTACATCAATTTCACATAAAAAAAAAAACAAGAATTTTAGGGAATCAGAAGGTGGTGCTGGCTAAGTTTTGTGCTAAAAAAACTTTAGAAAAATCACTTTAGAATGTTTAGCTGATCAATAAGTGCAAACTAATCAAAGAATAATGGATAATTGCTCTACTGATGAAAATGCTACACATATTGTCAACACTGGAATATGTATAGAGTGCGCCATGGCATTAATGCCACTAATCACAAGTGCATGTTTTGATCAAATATTCATAGCTTGTCATATTTTTCAATTCAAATATCCTGGATTTTTTTTCAAACATCTCCCTCAATAAATTACCTGTGCAATATATAACATAGCTCGTGAAGCTGTGGCTCTGGCTGAGCTATCACAAAGCTCCATCTGGTCAGTGATGCGAGTGAGGAGACTGAATCTTTTCTCCTCCGTCATGCTCTGCCAGAGAGCCAACACTCCTGCATCACTGCACACCATCTCAAAAGCCTGCAATAGTTGGAATAAATTACCTCCTTGTAGCTAAACAAGTTATAAAAAAATTCATTCTGAAAACAATGTAACCTGACAACTTCTCCAACAACCACAATAACCCTGATCATTCCTTATGCAGAAAAAGATGACAAAATGGTTCAATTTCCTCAATATTTGTAAAAAAATTATTATAAATAAGCAATAGAGAAATGCACACTGGACAATAGAGATAGATTATTTACAAATGGTTAATTGAAACCAACATGTTACAAGAAATCCTTTGATGTCCTAATTCAAGTTCAAACAGTATGGAAAATAATAATGAAATGGTTTTTCCACTTCTCAAACATGAAATTGGCTTACTAATTGAAGAAAATAACTATAAAATACACACATCTCACATTAACAGTCAAACAAATGAGTGCAATTGTACCTTGATGTTGAGCTGGAACTCAGGCCCTTCTGAGTATGAATAAAGCTCAGCCATCTCATTCTCATAGGAGTCCGAGTCTGCATACGTGAAATCAATTTCAGGGCAGTCCGTCATGCTTGTCTGTAAAAAAATACTTTTATGTTTTTCATGCCAAAAATTACCAATTTATATGTAAGAAGGAAGTAATATTTCCAATTTAACAAACATTAAAAAATTTGTAGGATATCAGAGATATTTATCATTGACCAGGCAGCCAAAGAGAAACATAGGCAGCATACAGTAGAAAAACATATATAATAATAAAAATAAAATAGACCATAAAATTCATTATTCATGATTTCATCATATATCTATACAGGTACTGTATACAAAAAGTATACTGTATACAAATACCTAACATAAATGACACCCAAGTCACGACTCAGCAGCTCCTGCACTTAACTTGCCACTTGTCAAAAAAAAACTCATTTTACCATGCTGGTTATAATTATAAGTTGTATATGGTTTCATTGCTCCACAATAACTAAGAAGCATTTCTGATAATGCTAAAATGTTATTGCTCTGTTTTTTAGCATAATATATACTTGCTATCATAGGCTGGCAACATGAGTGCGATGACAACTGGCAAAGTTAGTGGCATTGACACATGACAGTAGGTACTGTAGGTGTAAAGTCTCAACTATCATTTCAAAAGATTACAAAGTTTAATAAATATATTATTAATTTATTATTATTCTTAAACTGGGCCAAAGTGTTACTTCCTAAATTTTTCTAAAAGAACTTAAGCAAGGGCAGAATTGGAATTTTTCTACTTAATACTGAAATGTTGAAATCTTGGGGCACTAAATTCTACTGCCCACTAGAGTGCTAAATTTTCTGTACATTAGGAATATTATGGTCCAATAGTACACTTTTGTCAAGATTTAGATAGGAGCTGATTCATGTACCATAGAAGGTATCTTGCAGTTTCCAAAATGGCATGAAAGCTTTTGTTGCAGCCTAAATAGTAGATATATTCCAAGCAAGGACAAAGGCCATAGAAATGGGTGAAATTTACTACCTAAATGTCTACAAGCAAGCATGTGCGTTCTTGTTTCATTCACTCACAGGCAGCTTTGGCACAATTTTTCCAAATGGAAGCTTGGCGGCAATTTGCCACTAAAAACCATACAATACTGACAGATGGGGTAATAAGGGGTGATTTTGAGAAATTTTGGTTAATAACTTCTTACCATGAAACATTACATAAACAAATTTGAGCTCATTTTAACGGTCTTTGCAAGGGCTATCAGATGGCATCTCTGAAAAATTCTATATACTATTTGTAAGGTGCCAGACACAAACTAAAATTGTCCTGAATTACCACTGGTAACAGGGTAAGTTGGGACACTTGAAATAAGACCTAAATTTAAAATGTTTGAAGTATGCAGAATGTGCTCATCCATTACTAACATTACTTTGAAGTCCTCCTCTTCATTTGTGGCTGATGTAGATACAGAATAAATGACATTTTCTGTGATTTGTACTAGTTTTTCCTTTATTGATGAGATATTACCATACCAATCCATGGACATTCCATTGAGCATTGACAACAACATTGTCCACTGCAAGCTTCATATCAGCTGCCCTATAGCATTTCTTCAGTAGCTGTGAGCTTACATGTAGGGGTGGGCTTGTAATTTTTCACCATTTTAATTGTGTCAAGGGAATTCTCTATAACAAAATAAGATTGTAAAAACATACCTGAAACAGAAAGAAATATTTTAATGACAACTATCATATTTTTTGGCTAAATAAATCACAATTTAGGTTAATTACTTTTCATTTCATGTTACCTGATGCAGTGGTGCATAATTCTATCTATGACATTCTATGCAGAATTTTGTGATGACCAATGAATCAATGATGCATTAACTTTTTTGTTAAGTGCATTATTTTTTGCTGAGCAAGGTAAATGTTATCAAAATTCTTTGTGCTTAATAATTTTTTTTGTTAACTGGAGTATTTGCTAACCAAGCCATGAAGCCAAGGTTCTACTTCTACTGTAAATGTGTTATTAGAGGTGTCCTGTTTACCCCAGAGGCCAGGGTGCAGAAAATGGGTGAACATCAAAAGATCTTTGGTGACACATCAGCAGCAAAATTTACGCCTTCAGAAGATCTTGCCGACACATTTGGATTGAAATTATTGCATTTTAGAAATTACTTTGAAATCATTGCAATAATTGCAAGTCTGCCACACTCACGATGATGCATGTTTTGGGGAAATTTTCCCATGTATAATGACTTTTTTTAAGATTGATAAAGATTGATAAAATGATAATATAAAATGAAATGGCCATAAAATGAATTGGCCATAAAATGAAATGGCGCTGATTAATGAAATGACAATAAAAATTCCCGCACACCTGGCACATCTTCCTGAGTCCCTAGTTGCTTGTAGACTGGAGAGTAAGGATATACTATCAAAGTTATTAGCAGCATTTCCTTATTAAAAATTACCTTTCAATGCATCTTGAAAATGGCTGGCAATGCTTTGGGCTAAAAATCCATATCTTGGTGATGCGGTCACACCGTCACTGCACCCTGTCCCAGTGTCCCGGGGGTGGGGGTGCCGGTGACCCATATAACATTTTTAGGCTGTAGCAGAAGTCAGTCTGTCCCTTGTTACCCCGTTTGACAGTACTCTCTTATCTCTATGCTGGATAACATAATGGCAAAGCAGTAATTTTTTTAGACTCTCCCTCAAGTTCAATTTTTAGTCCTTTAGGTAGACAGTAAACCAGCAAAGTATCGTGGATACCAGCACTATCATACATAAGATACTGACTCAAATCTCGAGTAAATAAAGAATTTAAAAATGAAGTGATTCTAAAAAATCTCTGGTTTGCCACTATGCTGGAGTTGGACAATGATCAGTGATCACAGATCAGAACTTCAGAACCAAGAACTATAATTTTTAGGTTTGGATTATCATTTAATACTTAGGATAAATGCGGTATATTCCGATTTCCGACACTTCAAGTTCAAGGACATAGCAAAAAATGAATGGCTATAAAAAAATCACCGTACACGCAAGTGACGCAACTCAAGTTCTGTTTGCTTTACATCACTCTCCAAACACCGCACTACTCACCAGCAACAATGAAACATCACAAAATGTTGCCATATTTATTTAAAAGCCTTTAGAATGCAAACCTACCAAATCCATATATTCCGACACAGTGCGACACTGTGTGTGACTAAATTTGGCATTTTGTGAGACTAATTCCGGCCGCGCTTCAAACTCTACTAATTCGTAATTCCGACACTCTTTACAAAATGTTGCCATATTTATTTAAAAGCCTTTAGAATGCAAACCTACCAAATCCATATATTCCGACACAGTGCGACACTGTGTGTGACTAAATTAGGCATTTTGTGAGACAAATTCCGGTCGCGCTTCAAACTCTATGAATTTGAAATTCCGACACTCTTGCGTTCAAATTCCGATCGCTGTGTGAGCTATATTGGAATACGACACAGCTTGGAATTAGAACACTATTGAATATTGAACACTACTTATCTAGGCTTTTAATTAAGAGCTATTAAGCTTTTAATTAGTAAAATTTCAATTTTTGCACACAGCTTGGAACGAGTTGTGTGTCTAATTCCAAGCTGTGTCAGAATTAGTTTTTATGTGTCTATAACCGTCTCTTAACTTAATCATCTATTAATTTATTTACGACTTGAAATCAGCAAATACAAGTATACTAAAAGGATTCCTAATATATTCACAGACTTATTTAAAAATCTCAACCCATAATATTCATTCTACACAAACAGTTTATCACTATTTGGTAAAGCAAGGTCAACTATCAACTTTGACACATTTTTTGATGTTCTCGCTGGGTGATGGCGTGATGCGCAGTTGCGCACTGTCTCTCTTTGGATCTCCACATTTTCCCGCCAGACGGTCCAGACCTAGTGTTTTGGCAATAGTAGCTATGGCGCCGGGCGCGCAAGAGTATGACGTAACTATTTCAACCAACAACGAATGCGTGGAACTAAGAAAAAGCTTAATATAAAGGAAAAAAGTCGAGAAGTGTCGGAATTACCCACAATTTTGGAATATACCGCGTTTACCCTACCCTAGGCTTAGTAGGCTACAAAGCCATTTCAATCTTGCTAGGAATCTGTGGAGTGTGGACTGTGGACTGTGGTTTACTTTTGAATTTTGATAACAATATGGATTGTTTCTTCTGTTATTTGTATTCTGTAGCTAGGCTAGGCCATCTACATCAATCATTCAATGCTGCAACCTGCAAGTATGAAGTTAGTGGCATTGACTGATTCAGCAATTGACGGTAAAACTGTTGGAACTCCTGTCTCCAGGAAATTTTTGCATTGCATAATCTTTCTACAACTGATTTGATAATTTTCATGAAATTTTGGCATCCTTCCACAATGCAAATATTAACCATATCAATAGAAAGTAAATTGGAAGTAACCTGGTAGTCTGGTACTGGTAGCTGACTAGCTGGTAGGTAGGTCGTAGGTGTTATGCTCACCTCGGAGTCTTGACGTTGTCGACGATAAATTTCGAAAAGTTTTGGCATGCCACTTTTCTGAGATGCTTCACTATCCTCCATAGATATTCAAACAATTTGTCACACTAATAATAAAAATAATCCATAAAGGTCGAGATCAATAACGATTATGCTTCAAAATATAACACAGTTCAGCACGATGACACACGAAAAATGTTTCGCGATAATTTTTTTGTCTATTGTGTATTGACGTTATGCAGCTGCTAAAAAGGAAGAGACGCTGATTCCAGATTCTATCCTGCCGAGTGGATCACTCGGAGTCGGTGTTAGCACCAATATGCTTCATAACAAAATGCATTTTTCAGTCACTCAAGCTATAGGACACAGCTCGGATCACTTAATAAAAATAAAAGTTATACCATGTCATAGTCATAAACATAGTGTATTGATGAAGTTTTCTCATAACTACTATAAACTTGATGTGTGTTGACGTGAAACGTTGAAATTCGGGATTTTAAAATTCGACTGCATAATATAAAGCGAAAATGTGAACTTGCATTTTAAAACAATAACAATATAACTTCAACTAACTTGCTATACGGTAAGTAAATTTCTGTTTCTCACGCACTTAATAATAATAATAGCGGTTTCTGCGTTTAATAAGCCGTAGGCCTTTCGCCGATTCTTAACATCGCAGAACATTCACAGCTTGCTGCGGTCTCGAACTCGCAACTCACTGCTACAATTCTGCTGTGCTTTTAACCGCCCGGGCTCCTTGCCGATTCTAACCAGAAACTGGCGCACAGAGCTGGGATCGAACCCTCGCTCTTCTACGTCAATCATGGTAATCTGAACTTTAACCACTGGGCCACCCTTAACCCCACTTAAGAGGTCATTAAAAAAATATTGAAGGCTTTTCAAGTTTACTAATTTCAGTTATTTTGGCTACGGTTACAAGCAATATTTTTTTCTACATCTATCATTATCATATGACGTAAGGCTCATATGAGTCTGGCATACGAGTTGTTCAAGAACTATATACAATATTACACCCATTGTATTATTCATCGTCTGAATTTCAAATGAAAATAAAGTAAGAAAATTATAGAAATTGAGAATAAACAGTTAAGACCGATTAATTGCAGGAACGGCTTATGGACAATCTACTTCATTGAAAAGCTTCAGAGAAATGAAGCTAACGCAAAGGTAACTAAATGAGCTAAGCTCATTTGAAAAAAAAATATAACTAGGTACTCACTGCAGTGAGACGAAAACTTGAAATCACGGACGGGCAGACATGGTGAGCACCATGGTGCATTTTTTCCATAAATGAGAAAATGCACTAAAAAGAGGGAAGCATAGAATAAAAACACCATACAAAACCGCAAAAGCATCCCGTCCCACAGCAACGTATGCACCGGAAGCAAGGCTAAACCAAAGGGGAAATTAAACTTACATTAAACTAAAAACTGGGAAAAGATACTCTCGGCTAACTTCACAACATTGAACTCAGAGCATGATTTTTTTTTCATAGACTCACAGAACCGCGTGTCAATGGACCATGATACGTAAACATCTAAGGTTATCGTTAATATATAGTTAAAATTTTTGTTGGATACGAATTTCAGAAAATTTGATTCAACACGGCCGTATTAAATTCACTAGTAGGCTCTAGTAAAATGAGACTTCTCATCCTAGAAATACGGACACAAGGCATGTAAGTGCTGAAGAAAAAAATCTTCTAGAGCTGAAGCATAACGTGCAACACATCTAGCGACAACCCAATCAAATAGAGAATAAAACGAAACATGGTTTACAAATGCTCAGACTTAAACTAGAGTTCCTGTACCTATATATGACTATTATTTTTAGAGACCTACTGTATGTGGTTGATCGATAAAATTTTATACGTCTCATCAGAGGATCTCAGGAGAAACAAAGTTTTATTTAATCACTTAGAGTAAGTTACTTTGAACCCGTGCTTCGGCCTAAGTGCATTTGGCTCAGCATCAACTCATTAACTCAATTTAGAACTGACATTTTGCAGTGTAGAGACTATAATTAAGGACGTTCAAATTGTGCCAACAAGACAAATTACGGAAGTTTTTTGTATCCTTCAGAAACTCTACGACTAGGCCTTTTAGATTTCATGGGTCAGAGCAAAACTAATACTAACTTGTACATATAAACACGCGTCCACTGCATTACGCTAACTGCGAGAACCATGGCAAATGCATTGCGGTTCATCGGATGCAGGACGAACCACAGTAAACGCGCTTCGGTTCATCAGGAGTAGGAAGAGATGATTCGTCGAAGATGAGCACGTGCAGATCTCAGGTCCTGGCTTTAATCTTTTTAAGGATGTTGCTTTGCTCCAGGGCAGCTTTTCTCTTTCTCTGCAAAACATTAAGACAATGAGTTTCAGCTGACCTATGAATCAACAGCATGGAAAATTACTGAACAAAAGGGGATTTATTTGTATTTCAAATGATAAAGTTAACTTTTTCTATTCAAGCCCTCTAGTCAATCTTCACGAGGTTCACATACAAGAGTTAGACAAAATAAGGGAAACACCTGAGAAATTCACAACAGAAAATTTTGGCATGGTGTAGGTCCACATTTTGCTGTAATTAAAGCATCAATTCTCCGAGGTATTGATTCATACAAATTGTGACTTGTTTCCTAAGGAATTTCAACCCATTCTTCATTTAAAACTTCTTCCATCTCTTTTAAAGACGATCGGGACTGGACTTCAGACTTGCATCTCTAAAATCGACCATAAATGCTCGATAATATTCAGGTCTGGTGCTTGTGGTGGCCAAATGAGTTGCTTCATTAAAATGTTCCTCGTGCCATGTTTAACAATTACAGCTGTATTGATTGGGGCATTATCATCTTGAAAGATGGCATTCACCTTCTGGAAACAGTGCTTGAACCATCAGATGAACTTGGTTCTCCAAAATTCTTAAATTGAACTTTCCATGAAGAGAAATCATTGGTAAGAGGGATTTATAAGAAATAGCATTCCAGATCATCACAGAACCCCCGCCATGTTTTACATTCGGAAGGAGGCAGTCAGGATTAAATGACTCTTTTGGCTGTCTCCAAACGTAAACTCGGCCAGAGGTTGGAAATAAGGTAAAAGATGATTTGTCAGAGGAAATCACATTTTCCACTGCTCGAGGGACCAATTCTGGAGGTTTTTACACCACTTTAAACACCTTGAAGCCCTTGTATTTGAAACCAGATTACCGAACATAGCCCCAATCATTACTAGTCTACGACGTACAACCAATAAAACATATACATATACAATACATATA